GAGCCGCAGCGTGAGCCTCTTCGTTAAACGCGTCCCCTGAGGCTTCGCTTTACCCCGCCTTTCTGGCTTCCTCCCACAATAAATCATTCCAGATTTGGAAGCAGAAATGGCAGATTCTTTGCTTGTCAAACACCCGTAACGATTCTGTCCCCGAAACAACTACAGCAGCAGGCCTTTCTTTAAGACGAAGCAGGCATTTCGATGACAATTTTGCCAATATTCTTGTTGTCTTCCATGATCCTGTGTGCCCCTGCAATCTCGTGCAGAGGGTGAACGCTGTCAACAAGTGGTTGGAGATGAGGGGAGGTTCCTCCAGAAAAATAGGGCAGCACGTCTTCTGTGAAGGCTTTCACCAGCCGTTCCTTATACTGAAGAAAAAATGAAAGATTACTTCCAATGACTTCGTTCACAGAGGCATGTCTAAGCACAGCGTACAAAAGGTGCACAGTTCTCGGGGAGACTGACATTCTCATGGCGAGACAGACTTGTAAACATCTGACAGGTGTAAATTACAAACAAGAAGAAAACTTTTAGATTAATTATATTCTAATTGAATGAAATTCTCCAAGTGGTATAAGCTTGGTGGAGAACCATTTAAACTCAAACTGATAAAATTCTTGAGAATATTATGTATTAGACCACGGACAGAATCTATCCTAGGGCTCTAAACTGCTGCCTTTTACTGTAATACCTGAGAATTTACCATATAAAGTGATATTTCCTTGGTAATTTCTGTGTGTCTAAATAGCCTCGGTCTCTACTTTGAAAAATGATTTAATAGAGGTTTTTCTCTCCTCCCCCACCCTGACTTGGTCAAGTTGCCTGATCACTTGACTTTTGTTTTTGCTTAGGCTAAATCTTTAAATTATGGTACTCGTGAAGTAGATCAAGAAGTTCTGGATATCATTCCTCTGATTCAGTAGTTGTAAAAGGGAGGAGTTTGCTAAAAATAGAAAAGGGAAATTATAACTTAATTTTGCAATGTTTTCCGAAGTATGTAGTAACAGTTCAAGGTGGTGCTTTTTTGGTAATAATGTGTTAGATTCTGCTTTAACACTGGTATCAAAAGAAAGCTCTCAAAACTATCATCGATTTTAAGATCAAACTGTGTACAGTGTTGACAGCCATTACTTGCCTCCTTGTCTCGTGATCGTAATAGAGTTGTATGGATGCTCGCTCTTTTGGAAAGCAGCCTTGCAAGCAAATCTCCATGTACTTCACCTCCACTCAGTAGTCCATAAATAATCCACCGGCCATCAGTACTCAGACAGTTGAGATTCTTCTCCCAGTATGAGCCACCAACACAATCTAAAATAATATCTACTCCAGAACCTCAAGTAGAAACAGAAAAGATTTCAGCGATGTAGTTGAGCTGCATTAAAGGTAAGATAATTTCAGGCAAAACTAAAACCTTGTTCTTTACAGGTACAGAATCAATCCTGCAATTCTTACTTAAATCTTTCTACTGAAATTAGGAATTGGCACAATGATTTGTAAGGAATTCTAGAATCGGGCACAAAAAAGGAATCATTATAGATATCCAGATGCAGACTCCATAATAAACCATTCCAAATGCTTAGAAAAGCTAAATTTTTCTAACAGTAAGAGAACTAAGTTTTGTTCCCATATTCAAACACTTACAAGTGCGAGGATTTGGTCCCACAGTTCCTTGTGGAGGCCACAATAATTTAAGCCCCAAATGAACACAAAGCCAAAGAGAGTCCATGCAGAAAACAGCACAATTAAACTAAGGAAAGACAGATTGTTGGGCTGAACAGGATGTTGGGTTGTGCTAACAGGGTCATCACTGTCTGCTCCTTCGCCAACTGAGGCGACAGTTGAAATTGAGTGTATGTGCATATACGTTAGGAGGTACACATTCCTCCTCAACTGTAACAGGGTCTTTCACATAGAGGTTTTTACCTTGGGTGAACGCCAAGACCTTTTCACTAAAATCTTCATTCTTGTAGTTGAACCCCGCAGCTGCTCCGGCGTTTGCTGTAGCTTTCAGTTTCTCTTGAGTTCCTGCTGTCACAATGGGAATAGCTTTTGCCAGTCTTACCAGCTGAACGGCTGCCATACCAACTCCGCTAGCTCCAGCATGGATCAACACTCTCTCGCCCTTCTGTATTTTACCTGAAGGAGGGAAATGGTTACCCTTTTGGCATCACCTTTCGATTAAAACATGATCAGGGTGGAAAATACTGAAGAGGAAGCTGAAAGAGATGCCCTTAAGCAGGCTTTGTTTACATCTTCATAGCCTTCATAAAAGAAACAAACCCAGAACTAACATAACTCGCATTGTGCCATCAGGACTCCATTTTACCAACTTCAGGGGAACGGCTTTAGCTTGGCCCTGTCCAGTTCTGGGTATCCGTGACCAAGCTGCTTAGGTGAGTGCAGCCTTTATACCGGGACAGTCCACTGCCACCAATAGAAAACACACTCGGAGGATGTTAATACTGTAAAATCAGGCACTCAACAATAGAGAAAAACCAGAAGCGCTGGGTAATGGTTAAGGACCAGTTCTAATCATTTTACCATCTACCAGTTGCCCTAACGCATTCGTTTTGTGTTCCACTGATTGCTAGTGGAAGTGAGGCACTGAGTAGTCCTGGAGACATGGTCCTAATTGACCGCAGACCCCCAGGAAGCAACAGTGCTCGAAGCGAGTAAATTACCTGTAGTGGGCAAAGTTACTTGTTTGTAACTCCTGTTCTTTAGTGGAGCTTTTAGGTGCTACTGCTGAAGAGGGTAGGAAAAGGATATTTGTCAACTAAGGAAAACCCTGGCAAGTGCTACTGTTAGTCCCTCTGTAGCACATTTTCAAAATGAAGGGTGTGAGCTTATGTCTGTTTTAAATAAGCTCAGAAGGCATTTTACCTACAATTAAAGCCTCTGTGAAGCAAGGTACAAGAAGATGTGGTCTACCGTAGATCCACAGGCAATTAGTGAGGAAAGTTCATGATATGGTCGTGCTTTCAGGGAAGTCAAATATTTAGATGTAGGATATGTTTTCACATTTCAGTTGTTGGAGAACATGTAAGTTATTGCAGAGTTTAAGCCTAAAGGAAATTGCCAATTGCCTCAGTCTTTAATAGTAAGACCAGTTGTTCTCCGGGTACCCAGCCCCCCGAGCTGGAAGACAGGGACGGGAAGCAGAACGAAGCCCCCGTAATCCAAGGGGAAATGGTTAGTGACCTGCTCCACCACTTAGACACACACAAGTCTATGGGGCCAGATGGGATCCACCCAAGGGTACTGAG